ACACACACACACACACACACACACACACACACACACAGGTCCCGTACGCGTGCGTACTTTGTGTGCGATCCGACCGCAAACCGCCTGCCGCGCATGGAACCTGTTGCGCCGCCAACTTCAAACGGCCTTTTCACCACATACACGTTCGAAATCAACCACAGGTGCGTGCAGCAAAGAACGGCACAGCATGGTGTGTGTATGTGCGTGTGTGCGCATGGCCGTGTGTGCATATGCGTGTGTGCATGTGCATGTGTGTGCGTGTGTGCATGTGCGTTTTTACAAGATGCTTGGTTGACGCACCCATCCAATACACGTATACATCACCACCACAACCACCACCACGACACATGATCGTTAGGTGCGCGTGTCCTGGTGCGACCAACTGCTCTGGGCCGCCGCTGCAGACTGCTCCCGACCTGACATGCATCAGGTGAAGTCGACATACAGCATGCCATGCCATCATCGCTTGTGATGTGGCATACACACGCACATGAGGGAAAAGGCGCGTGTGTTCGTGGTTGCGTGCCACAGAAGGAGGAGAGAGAGAATGGAGGAGGAGAGACAAAGCCTGTGTCGCTTTGTGCTCGGCTGTCTTCACCTTCACATACCACCACCATGCCTCGCTCACCTTACATGCCCCCCCCCCCCCTCACCAATATCTTCCATACGACCACACCGCGACCACACGGCCACTACAATCACCACTATCATTGTGCTTTGTCAACCAGGAACACGATTGGCGAGAACTTCAAAGGGTTTCAGTTCATCTTCGTCATTCCGTTTGTGCTGCTGGAGCGCCGCCTGTTTACCAAAACACGTATGGCGTGAAAATGGCACGAAGGGCGCGGGAGAGAGAAGAAGAAGAAGTGTGTGTGTGTATGTGTGTGTGTGTGTGTGTGTGTGTGTGTGTGTGTGTGTGTGTGTGTGTGTGTGTGTGTGTGTGTGTGCATGCCATCGTCCTCAACCCCCTTTTTTCATCTTCTCCTTCTCCTCCATCGGCCAGACCTGTTGTGGGGCCTGATTGGCGTGCCATACCCGTTCAACTTCCTGGAGAGCAGATCCCAGCGTCTCGTGTCTGCACTTCTGTTCACCGTCTTTGCGACCTCTCTCTTCAACAATTTCTTCCAGCTCGGTGCGGTGTTGTGCTCGACCGAGCCATCAGTTGCGCTGTGCGTGTGCGTGAATGCGTGTATGTGTGTGAATGCATGAGTTCAAGGCGCAAAGTGGTGAGCTGTGTTGTGGGGCAAGAGTTCACCCGCATTTAATGCACAAGCACACAAGCACACGCACACGTGCACGCAGAACTTACACATGCACACATGTGACGAATTGTTTAGCTTTTTCATCGGACACATCGTCGTTTGTGGGAACCATGAAGACGCTTGGAGAAACATTCCTGCGCTCCCTTCAGTTTTACCCAATCTTTCTTGCATCAACCTGTCGTTTCTACTGGTTTGGGTGAGTTTTGGCTGCGGCCTTCGAATGGCTCCTGTGCGAGAACGGACAAGAACTGCACTCCTTGTTGTTTAAGTTGTTGTTGTTGTTTAAGTTGTTGTTCGAATCATTCCACCCCTCTTGCAATCATTTCATCCAACATATCTCTGAGTCCACGCATGCGTCTAACACCAAGCCCCCCCCTCACACATGCACACATAGGGCGATTATTGGCATATTTGGATGCATGATCTTGATCTATGATGCCATTGTTGTAGCGTCGTGTTTCCTGGGCACAGTGGTGTATTTCATCACCCCTGTCTTCATCTTCCAGGCCATTGTTCTGTGAGTTCAATGCAAACACACGTGCGTGTTGTTGGCGCCTGGGCAGCGCATTCTGTGTTTCTCCACACACACGCACACACACACACACAACCCCCACCAATCACCGTTGAGCACGTTGCAATTCTTTTCCCTCACATTGTCACACACCATCCAATCCCAACACATCACAACACATCACACCGGTAATTGCAGGTGTGGTGTCATCATTGGTTTTGCCTATCGTCTCGTTCGCGATGTGCGAGCGCGTGTGGACGGGCAGTTGACGTGGCTCGAGCCAAGTCGCAAGGAAGGTGCGTCACGTCACGTCACGCTGCCGTGTCCTCACACCACGTGTTTGCTCTTCGTTTGCGCTGCTCGCAAGTCTCGCAGGAAATGCTGTTGTGCTGTGATTTGAGCGTGTGTGTGTGCGTGTGTGTGTGCGCGCGCGTGTGTGTGTGTGCGTGTGCGCGCGTGTGTTGCGCTTATCCCTTCGATCTACGCCACTGTGTGTTTGCACGCTTGTTTGTATGACGAAGGCACCTCTGACGGCCTGAAGCATCTCGCATTTTACGAAGAGCAAGTTCGCGACTTGCTCCGCCCCCGCACCCCTGATGAAGGTTTGAACAAAACTGTTGGGAACACATTCACTACACGCCTTGCACTGTCGCTACCTCGAATACGAATCGACCACCTTGTTTATGGCACCAAACTAGCATTGTTTCTCTCTCCCGCTCTAGCGTTGAGACGCGCGCACGCACACACGCGCGCACACACACGCACAGTACGCACACACACACACACACGCACACTTTTTGCTCACTTTCCGCTCCTCCTTCTGCTGTTGCCAACGTGTCAACTATCAACTACAGAGGAGCTTGAGCACGAAGATGAAAACAAGTCATCCTATCGCATTTTGATCGAGGCAATTGTCGCCTACTGGCAATCGTTCAAAACGCAGGCAAAGGCCACACCGCGCAATGTGCTTGAAACGTACGTGTGTTGTGTGTTGTGTGTGTTGTGTGTGTGTGTGTGCATCCATGAGTAAGGGTGCATATTTGCTCGCATGTCATTCAGCCTTGTGGACTCCTAAACACTTGAGGAATGCATGGAGACGCCCAGCCACAAAATCATCTACATGTTCACTCCGTGCATACAACACACTCCCCTACCACTCTCCCAAGCTCACCACCTCCTTCCCTCTTTCTGTATCCATCCCGCCTTCTACACCCTTCTCCCTCTCACTCACATTCCCACACTCCACATGGCCCCTTGCCCCTAACTAACATCCTCTTCCCGTTACACGCTTCAGCTTCAAGGAATCGTTCCGGCTGAGCGCGCGGCTGCTGGCTGTGGGATGCATGTCCGTTGGCTGGAGTATTCTCCTCACCACCATCGTCATTCTCGTCTTCCCGCAGCTTGTGGTGCGTGCGTGCGTGCGTGCGTGCGTGATGTATGTGTGCGTGTGCATGTGTGCGTGTGTGCGTGTGCGTGTGCGTGTGCGTGTGCGTGTGCGTGTGTGTGTTGCATATGAGTGCAAGATAATGTTCATACATGCGTGTGGTTCTCGTCACCCACGACCACGACAACCACTGCTACTGGCGTCACTGCCAACACTGCAGGAGCCTGTGTCCCGCTACATCCTCAACACAGGACCCGATCTTCGTTGTCGCGCCCTCCCTGGTTACGTCCTCTTCCCCAGCGGCGGTGAGCAGCGCTCCTCTGCTTGCAAGCATGAACACGATGTGTGCGCGCGTTCGTGTGAACTTGGCGGGATCATGAGTTGTCTTGCAATGTTGAGGTTGCATGCGCGGGTCGCAAATACCCATGGAGTGCACAGTGTATCTCTCTCTCTCTCTCGCACACACACACACACTCACACACACACACTCTCTCGCACACACACACTCGCGCCCTCACTCACACACACACACACACTCTCTCTCTTTCTCTTTCTCTTTCTCTCAACCCTCTTTACATACATTCCCCTTTCCTCAGCAACGCTGACTGCGACGTTTCGGTTCGGGCTGGGCTGCCGCACAAACGAGACCATCCTGACGGTGGTGTACTGGGTGCTGGTTGGCGCCGCACTCATCACCATGCTGACTCAGCTCTTTTTCATGCTGTCGCTCTTCCTTGGGCACCGCCGCCGCCTTAAAGGTCTCGCCAGGGGCGATAGGCGTGTCCTTCCACACACTCTTGTACGTCAAGTGCGGCGACTGTGCGTTGTGCGTTGTGTGTGTTGTGTGTGGTGCGTTGTGTGTGTGTTGTTTGCTTGTTGTGCTCTGCCTTGTGTGTTTTGTTTGTTTGTGTTGTGTGTTTGCCCGCTTGCGAACGGGCATGGGCGTGCGTCGCGTTGTTGTTCCGCTCACACCCACAACACCACAACCTGCAACCCGCCGCCGCCGCGCGTGCAGCCGAGTCCTGCGTCTGCCATTGCGAACATGGTCAAGTATCTCGGGTATCAGATTGCGCACATCTACATGGGCTGGCTCGTCCTGTATGCCGTCTACTTCATCATCCTCGCCATCATCGCCGTCTCCATCGGTGCGGGTGCATGCGTGCGCATGTGTGTTTGTATGTGCATGAGAGAGTGTGTGTGTGTATATGCGTGTGTGCGTGTGTGCGCGCTTGTATGCGTGCGCGTGTGCGTGCGCGTGTGCTTGTATGTGCTTTGTTGTCGTTTGTGTTTGCACATTCCCTCAGCACATGCGACCACGCTCACTTCTCATCACGTCTTATGCATCCCACCACCACCACCACTGCAACCACTGCCGTCAGTGTTGCCTATTCTCGACATCCTGCCTCGGTCTTTGCTCGACTTTTGGCTCCGACAGCTCGCGTCGTTTGCATTCGCATATGCGTTTGTTCTTCTGCAAAAGCTCCTCGTCTACCTCTTCTTCCTGGTGTGCATGATCGAGTGTGCACGTGTGTGTGTGTGCACGTGTGCACGTGTGTGCGTGCGTGCGTGCGTGTGTGTGTGTGTGCGTGCGTGCGTGCGTGTGTGTGTGTGTGGTATTTGTACATGTATGTATGTGTGTTTGTGTACGTGTGTGTGCGTGTGATGGACGTTGAGCACGCGCGTGTACGTGCTGATTTTATCTCGAACGCATGTTTGCACCAATTCAATGATTGAACACGTTCACACGCTGTGCTGCATATTTGCTCCCCTTCTGCTTTGCTTACGCAGATTGACAGTCGCAGTGTCGCTGTTAGGTGCGTGTTTCGTCTGACCATTCCGTATTTCACCTCCATCGCCACCATACTCACACATAGCGTCGACTCGGGGCGTTCATGCACAATACCTTGCTAATGATTCCCTTGGCTTTCAAACTCATTCACACACACACACACACACACACACACTCACCCACACACACTCTCTCTGTCTGTCTCTCACTCACCCTCACTCACCCTCACACGCACTCATACGCACACATACGCACACGCACCCCCCCCCACATGCTGCTTCCCACCCGTGCTCATCCCCCTTTTCCCTTCGCAGGCGCCGGCACTGGTTCTTCAACTTTGACTTTTTCGCGTTTCTCTTCAACGCGGTGGCGGGCGCGTTCATTTTCCTGCAGCGCTGGGCCTTCACCACCGTCCTTGCTCTTCTCTTCACCTCAAGGTGTCACACACGCACATATGCCATGCATGCGTTGCAGCAGTGGCTGATGTGGTTGTTGTCCTCGTCGTGATGCGTGTCAATCTTGCCTTGCACGGCACGTCGCAATATGTTTCCTTTTTCGGCAACGTGGACGTTTGTTTCATGTGATTTCGCCTCGTTCTCGAGCATTCATCGCGGTTGTCAGCTCACACCTGCACCAACCACCACCAGGCTTGATATTCCGTCGCTGCCGCAAGGGTATGAATCGTACGACTCGTCGTACACTGTGTATGTCGGCGTTGTGCTCGTGGATGCGTTCTACAGCAACCCGATCGTGATCACATTCGTCAGGTGCGTGTATGCATGGGTGTGTTCTTACATTTCGTGCGTGCTCGTCTGTGATTTGAGTGGGTGTGAATTTGTGTAAGTGCTTGTGGATGCGTATATGTGTATATGTATGTGTGTATGGAATGGATGTGCGTCTGTTGCGTACACACGCACGCGTGTGTGTTTGTGTTGTAAATTGTGACTGGTGTATGGTCGTGTTGTGACGTGCTTGCATGCGTCTTGCACACGATTACCTGCCCCCTCCCCCTACAACTCACTCATGCACGGCATGCCTTTGTCAACTTGATCTGTCCCCCCCCCGCCAACCACGGTACCAGGATGATGATTGAGGGCCGCACAGACTACTCTGGTGACCGCCGCCACAACACCCCACTCGCACACTCGTGCACCTGGACAGCGCCAGTGAGCCTCAGCCCTGATGGTGACGATGACGATGACGGTAGGATTTTGCCGCGCGGTCGCATTGGTCGTGCCGTGCCTGCTGTGCGTGACGCGTGATGTGTACGAGTGATGCTTGATGCGTGGTGCGTGATGCGTGAGGTGTGCTGTGTATGGTGAGCGGTGCGTTGTACTTGGGTATTGAACCCCCCCCCCCCCTTGTTCATACTGCTGTTGCGGTTGCGTGCTACGCGCTCACGAACACTGGTCTCCGCTGTGCTATTGTCGCCACCCCTCGTTTGTCACGAACAAACACACACCACGTGTAGGCTTGAGTTATGCCATGAACACGGCAGAGCACGACAAGCTGCTCCCTCTAGTGGTAGGAGCAGAACAGCGTGTACGATCCTGTATTAGACCTGTACTTGTTTTCTCCCGACATGCCACTGACACCCCCCCCCCACACACACACACACACACACACACACACACACACACACACACACACACACACACACACACACACACACACACACACACACACACACACACAAACACACACACACACACACACCCACAAACACACACACAGGAGCAGCCCCTCCAGCGCCGCAGCATGGTGGCGCGTAACCGCTGGTTTGTGGCCCTGACACTCGCGCGAAACCCGGGCCTGCAAATGTCCCGCTGCACACACAAACGTATGGCACAGTCACATGCTGTTGTTCTCGTGGTGACGCTGTGTTGCGCTCAGTGATTCTTCCTCTTTGCTTCCTGTAGAATCACCACCACCAACGACAACAATTCACGTGCTTCCATGCCCTACCATCCATGCACCATTTCTCTGTCTGTCTGTCTGTCTGTCTGTCTGTCTGTCTGTCTGTCTGTCTGTCTGTCTCTCTTCGTGGGCCTGCGCCCTCTGCCTTGCTCAGCGTTGAAAGGGAAGAAGCGGTCTGCCACTGCTCTGGCGAGCCAGGGCGACGACGTCCTTGATGGCGCTGACGTGTCCGACGACAGGGGAGGGGAAGACCAGCATGGTGATGGCGGCGATGGGTGGCAGCAGGAGCCAGCAGAGGGCACGCCGAGCGACCATGATGGTGCTGTGGTGGAAGGGAGCGCAAGCGCCCACGATGGCAGCAGGGAGCGACGGGAGTCGCAAGTGTCACACGTGTCACTTCGTCCCGATGACGGTGACGGCGACACCACCACAGGCACAAGCAATAGCAGCAACATCCCCAACACCAACGACAGCAACACCAACGGCAGCAGCACTGACAACACTGACGCGTGACGTGCGCACACCCAGCTCCCTAGTAGCTTCCTTTTCTTCTTTTATCTCACTCATACCCCTGCTGGCAAGCTGCCCTGCTCGCTCGCTCAAGTCTTGCATGCTCACTTGAATCGTCGCCCAACAGAACACACAGACAGTAAACGCACCTTCATCTCTGTCTCCACCTCCACCTCCTTTTACCACATCAGCAGCAAAGCGCATTCCCCTCTCTGATGTGTTGACGATGATGATGAGGTGGGCGATTGGTGTGGCTGCAGTGGCAGTGCTTGCGTGCGTGGCCGTGGGCCACAGCAGCGAGGGCTCCTTTGAGGAGATGGGGTCGTGCCCTGCTGAGGGCTGCACTGCCACGGTTCGTCGCTCGCGCGTGCCGTGCATGCTGGACGATGAGGTGTGTCTTGGGTCTGTGCCGAAGAAAGGCGTGGTGAAGCCGCGCAAGGCGCTGTCATCACAGTCCTTCTACCGCGAGCGTGCGCAGCGGCACTTCCAGCAGGCGCTGCAGTGGCTCCACGAGCACCAGTTCTCGTGCGACTGCTCCAAGTCCACCATCTTCGCCCTGGAGCATCCCTACGGCGATGGAGACGGCTACGCCACGCGCCTCGGCCGGCTCGCCACGCGCATTGTGCCGCGGCTGCTGGAGGGCGAGGTGTTTGTCGTGTCCGGCGGCTTCCGCGGGTACACGGACACGGAGCTGTGCGGCGACCGCGGCCTCGAGTGCGTGTACCGGCCAACCTCGTCGTGCTTGCCGAAGGGAGCCCAGCGCACGGACGTGCCGTGCAACTCCATGTCGTCGCGCAGCGCAGGCAAGCCCCCAAAGCACCTGCTGAAGCACGGCCACGCGTGGTGGTTCGGTGTCCTTCTCTACTTCATGCAGCGGCCCAATCAGGACCTCGTCTCCTTTGTGCAGGAACACGTGAAGCCGCTGCCCTACATCCCTCTGCTTCAGCCGCACCACGGCGCCATCACCCCCGAGGACGAGCGGGCGTCGTGCTACATTGGCGTGCAGATCCGCAAAGGCGACAAGAACGAGGCACGCCCATTCAAGGACAAGCACTACACGGAGCAAGCCGACTTTATGGCCAGCGAGCTGCTTGGGCACGGGCTCATGACACCATGGCGTGACCCGTTGGCGAGCGCTGCTGAGGCGGACGGCAGCAGCGAGCAAGGCAGCGCGCAGTCGGAGACGGCGGACGGTGGTGATAAGGGCAGCGAATATGGCAAGGACAAGGACAAGGACAAGGACAAGGACAGTGATGGCAGCAAGCAGAAGGAGACGCAGGAGCAAGAACATGAGAAGAAGGCAGCGGAGCAGGCAGCGGAGAAGGCGGAGGAGGAGGAAGAGGAGGAGAAGGAAAAGGTGCTGGCGTTCCTGGCCACGGACGACAAGAAGACAGCCAAGCGTATCCGCAAGAAGGCGGTCAAGGGGTGGGACCACTTGCGCTTTGTCATGCTGAACAACAGCGACACGCGCGGTGTTGGGCGGCCAGGCCAGTCTGTCGCCAACTACCTCCTCCGCAAGTACGCAGGTGCGGAGAAGCAGTACCGCATGACGATGGAGATTGCAGCAGACACTCTCATCCTGTCCAACGCGTGCGGTCTTGTGGGGCTTGCCTCGTCCAAGATCACGCTGGTCGCCGCAAGTGCCGCCACAGCCTCTGGTCGGCTACTCACCATGCCTGTTGCTGTGGACGCTGCCAACGAATACCGTGTGCGCCCCGTGAAGCAGCCGTCGTCGAGCGAGCGCGTGGCTCACTCGCTATGGAACGCGCCCTACCCTCCTTTCCTTGACTCGTGCTGTGGGCCCATGTGATGATGTTGTTGCTTGTGCTGGACGTGTTGTTGCTTGTGCGTGTGCTTCTCTGTCTGTCTGTCTGTCTGTCCCTCCTTCTCTCCCTCTCTCTGTGTGCTTGCTGTTGGTGGGTCATCTCAGTTACATTTCCATCCACACAGTGAACAACAACAACAGTGCATGCATGATGACAACCTCTGCTGCCGTGCTGAGCGCGTTGCGGGCGAGACTGGCAACCGCAGGCCTGGATCTGTTCAAAGTGAGCACACGCAAAGCAGGATGGAGAGGGGTTAGGGGTTGACGGTGCACACGGAGAGTGTGGCGCGTTGGGGGAGGCAGGGCGTGCGAGGGCGTGCAGTGCCAGGATGCAAATGTGTGCGTTGCAGTGATGTGATGACATGCTCACGCCGAGTTACACACCGCCAGCCCTTCAACACCAGGTGGTATGATGCTGCAGTGGCTGAGCACATCCGACTGCCAGTCGCGTGCGGAGCGCACGATGGCAGTGGCTTTGACTGGACGGACTCACAAGGACAGGAGCTGAAGGACAAGGAGGGCAGCAAGGAGGAAGGACAGCTGGCAGTGCTCATTGGTAACACACGGGCGATATGGAGCCCGTTTATCTCCGCCCTGGCTCAGTCACCACACCCGATACCAGCGAACCCCATCAACACCTACGTCACACGTGCTGTGCGAGAAGCTGTGGCGTCCTGTGTTCCTTCCAGCCTCCACCCAGTGCTCCGCTTCTCCTATGACTTGACACCAGGTCAGTGTATATGTTTGCTTGTGTGTGTGTGTATGTTTGCTTGTGTGTGTGTGTGTGTGTGTGCGTGTGTTTGTGTGTGTGTGTGTGTGTGTGTGTGTGTGTGTGTGTGTGTGTGTGTGTGTGTGTGTGTATGTGTGTGCGTGTGTTTGTGTGTGTGTGTGTGTGTATAAGCAGTGATTCGCACTGACATGATAGCCAGCGCGCTGTGCCTATGATGATGTTGTGACGCGACGGTGGAACGTCAGGGCGCGTGCTGTCATTCCAAAGGCTCGCGCATGAGAGCGGCCTTGCCTACTTGCACCCGGCGTGTCACTTGTGTGTGCACCCGGAGTATGGCCCATGGATCAGCTTACGTGTTGTTGTTGTCTTGGATGCACCGCCGCTTCAAGGGCAACACGACAAAGAGGTGTGCGTGTGTTGTGTATGTGCGTGTGTTGTGTATGTGCGTGTGTTGTATATGTGTGTGTATGTGTGTATGTGTGTATGTGTGTATGTGCGTGTGTGTCGGCGCCTACACGTTGTTAGCCACCTCATGACCACGTCATGCACTGTCCCACCGCGCTCACAGGCGCCCATGAACCCGTGCTCCAGCGCTGAGGAGACAGCCATGACCGAGGCCAAGGCAGTTGCGCTCGCAGCATCAGAACGACACGACGGTGCGTCCACCTTGCACCTGAGCCCACCACTGACCGGCAACATACCCACATGCACGCCTGACAGCATCGCAACTCACTCTCCGATATTCGCTCCTGATACTGTCCTGACATATAATGGTGGTGGTGTTTGCTACATGGCAGCCGAAGCGTGGAAGCTGTGGCTGGCAATGCGCGATGCGTGTACAGTCGGCGCGCAGCACCGTTACACCGAACCCCAGGTGCGCGCTGCGTGCGTGCGTGCGTGCGTGCGTGCGTGCGTGTGTGTATGTGTGCGTGCGTGTGTGTGCGCGCTGCGTGTGTGTGTGAGGCTGTGTGTGTGAGGCTGTGTGTGTGTGTGTGTGTGTGTGTGTGTGTGTGTGTGGCTGTGTGAGGCTGGGTTGCACTTGACATGAACTCCAGCATTTGATGAGATTGCCTACTTCCTTCCTCACACCACCCCTCTCCCACCAAACCCGGGACACCGCACACTTGCAGGTTGCGTATCACTACACGCATGATCTTGGCATTATTGAGAGCGAGATGCAGCGCCTGAGGGATGATGGCCAGACAGAGCAAGTGGCAGGAACATCCCAATTGCTCTGAGCTGACGAGTGATGAGAGCATGAACTTGCAAGCCACCTACATAGCAGTTAGCTCCCCCATATGTGTGTGTGTGTGTGTGTACACAAATTATGCGCGTCGAACGTGACAGAAGCCATATGGTTTCCGCACCCTCTTCTCCATTTGGTTGTCTTGCTGTTTGTTGGCACTGTATTGGAGTGGGAGTTGACAAGGCACACACAGACACACACAGACACACGCACACACAGACACACACGCACATACACACGCAGGCATGAACAAGTAGACACACATTCACACGAGTCATGCGAATCAGGGTGCAAGCAACGAAGTTGCCTGGTTTAGAAGGACTTGTATGGGGCAAAGCCATCAAAGGTGCGGCCAAAGAGCGGTGTGAGGCCGTGCTTGTATGGGGAGGACGGGATGGCTGCGTTACGCACAAGCCACACATCGTCAGACACCGTCGCCTCGCTGTTCAGGTTCTGGAGTGTTGCGAGGGAGGGGGGAGGGGGAAGGGGAAGAGGAGTGGGAGAAAGGTGAATGGGAGAAAGGTGAATGCGTGAGGTTGCAATCGAGGCAGGGGACAGGTAGCGACAGAAGCACAGACAGACAAGACAGACAGGCACACAGACAGACACACACAAACACACAAACACACACAAACACATACACACATACGGGTGCGCAGACAGACAAACACAGACACACCCATCACACACCTTGTGCCAGGTCCAGTGGGCGTGGGTTGCGTTGAAGATCTCCACGCGGCCGTGGCCAAATGCGGGCTCGCGGTAGGCGCTCCACTTGGGCTGCGGGAAGTACAGATACGCGGGGCCTGCATCACCGAGGAGGAGAGAGGGAGAGGGGGGGGGTTGAGGTGAGGTGAGGTGTGGTGAGGTGAACATGAATGGCGCAGGTGAGCAAGGTGGAGCAGTGGTCATTTGTTGAAGAAAAGAAAGGCGGGGTGGCAGTGGAGGACATGGAAAGTGGTGAGCGTTTGTGTGGTGAGCGTTTGTGTGGTGAGCGTTTGTGATGGAGCGTTTGTGATGGAGCGTTTGTGCATAGTGCCACCATCGCCACCAGCTTGCTGCTGTTCGTGTTTGCTGCCATGCTGGTACCTTCGCGGTTGCCGGCGTCGCCAATGTTGAGGTAGGTTGGCGCCTCGGGGTTGGTCTTGTTCTTGTACACGGGGAACATGCGCTCATCTGTCAAGTACATGAAGGTGGCGAGGATGGGTGGGTGGAGATGGATGAGGAGGCTGTGGAGGGCTGCCAAGCAGTGCACAAGACAGAGAGAGACAGACGGACAGACGGACAGACGGACAGACGGACACAGGCACATAGGCACAGACGGAGAGACATACAGAGAGACGAACTGACACACAGACAAAAACACATGCTGCACAAACACGCGCTAGCAGCGCGTACAGGCGTGGACGTGGCCGGAGAAGATGGCGTCGACGTTGTGCTTGAACATAATGTCCTCCATGGCAGCGCGCATGCCCGTCTCCTCGGGCTGGCACGAAGGTGGCGCGCGCGCGCGTGTGTGTGTGATTGATTGTGATTGTGTGTGTGATTGATTGTGATTGTGTGTGTGTGTGTAATTGAGTGTGTGTGTAATTGAGTGTGTAAGTGTGTATGTGTGCGTCTACAGAGGCGCATGAAGCAACGTGTGCACGTGTGCGCGTCCAGGCAAGGCACGAGTCGTGGGTACCTCGTTGTGGTGGAAGACGTTGGAGTTGTACCAGGGGGCGTGCATGGACGCAAACAGCCAGGGCGTCACAGAGCGATCAACCTGAAGAGCAGTGTGGAGTGAGGTTGGGGGGTGATGACGAGGGGCGCAAAAAGAGGGATGAGGATTGGGGGAGGGGAGAGACAAAGAGGTGTGGCAGCACACGGACGCACACACGGACACACACACACAAAATACAGATAGACACGAGCAAACACACACACACACACACACACACACACACAAACACAAAATGCAGATAGACACGAACAAATACACACACAGGACTACATGTGTGCAAAGCGGGACCTTCTTGAGGTCCTGGAGAAGCCATTCGTACTGCTGGCTGCCCTTGTCAAAGTCCATGTAGGAGTTGAGCATGATGAAGTGCACGGGGCCAACCTGATGCAAGGGCACGGCGGCATGATGGGCACGGCGTGGGATGGAGTGGAATGGGGGGGGGGAAGGGGTTGGTGTTGGTCATTTGAGCGTGCGCTTGATATGTCACAAGCGACCGTAACAAATGAAAGATAGATGTCCATACGTGCAAACAAACACACACACACACACACACACACACACACACACACACACACACACACACACACACACACACACACACACACACACACAAAACAAAACAACCAACCAACCAGCCAAGCAACCACACCTCGAACGAGTAGTAGAGGTTGCCGTTTGTGGCGCCAGACTCCTTCCAGGGCATACGGAAGCGCTTCTGGTACGCAAGGAACTTCTCCTGCGTCGCCGGCGGTGGACCCTCCTGCTCAATCTCGTGGTTGCCGGGCAGCGTCTGGTGCATGGATGGATGTGGTGCATGAAGGGTGAGTTGGCGTTTGGAGGAGGCGGTGTTGTGGGCTTGGTGTTGTCGTTGTAGCATGACGGGACGCGACTGTGCATGGCTGTGCAAGACGACGCTGGGGTGGGAGCGTGTGGGCATGCGGTTGTTGCAAGGCGGCGTACCATGAGCGGCTGGTTGGCAAACACGTGCTCGACGAGCTCGCCCCAGCTGTCCCACCGGCGCTGTCGGGTGGTGGCAGTGAACAGGGGGGGGGGGAAGAGAAGGTGCTGGGTGAGGTGGCGCACCGTCGCAACACACACACACACACACACACACACACACACACACACACACACACACACACACACACACACACACACACACACACACACACACACACACACACACACACACACACACACACACACACACACACGATGAAACAAACCTACAGAGTAGCACATGGACTGACTGACAGACCCAAAAACACAACACAAACACGCACTAATACACATACTAATACACACACACACACAGACACACAGACACACACACACGCACACACACACACCAACCACAACGGACCTGGGTGCAGTTGCGCGTGGGGGTGGTGCGCTCGGCAGAGTCAGCGTACGAGAGGTCGCCCACAATGACGGTGAGGTTGGTGGTCGGGTCGGACTTGATGTGCTCGATAGTCGACGACGAGTTGGCCGTCTGCCCAAGATCGCCAATCACGCTGAAGATGAACCTGCGCGCGCGTGTGGATGTGCGTGTGTGTGTATTCGTGTATGTGTGGCCGACAAGAGAGGGAGGAGTGAGCATCAGACGGATACAACCGTATTGGAAGCCGCCAACACAACATGAAACAGCAAAGCACACACCCCAAAAACAAAGCATTCAAACAAGCCACCGCCACCGCCGCCACAACCACCCGCAACAACACCATTGCCACGCAAAGACGGCCATGCCAGCTGCGCACGCACTTGCTGGTGCCGACGACGGGGGGAGTTGTGAAGGAGAAGACGTCGGAGTAGCCAAAGCCGTCAGCGCCGCAGCGGTAGTAGTACTTGGTGAGGGGCGCCAGGTTCGGGATCTTGGCGTGGTGAATGAGACCTGGTGTAAGCAAGGGGGGGGGGTGCGCGGGCACCGAGCAAGTGAGGAATCGCACGCACATGCGTTGGGGGGGGGGAAAGGGAGTGAGAAGAGGGATATGAGCAGAGGGAACAAGACACCGACAAATCGACACTCACATAGACACACAGGCAGACAGACACAGGCAGACAGACACGCACACACCACACAGACACACACACACACACATGTGGTTCAACGCAAAACGCACCAGAGACGTAGTGCTCGCCGTATGTGCTCTGGAACGTGTAACGCTCGGCATCAGCGAGTTGCTCCACTGGTTTAGAGGGGTGGCAAGCGTTGAGGAGGGGAGAGGGAGAACCAAAAGGAAAGGTATGAAGGGGAAGCAGGGAAGACGTGTTGTGAGGATCAATTGGACAACAGAGCGCACAGGAGCAGTGTTGTTCAGCACACGTCACAGTAGAGCGTTGTTGAGCGCTCAATGCCCCCAAGAAAAGCACAAGTCACGAGCGAATACACAGGCTTCTGCGCACCTCGGGTGTTGAGCTTGTCCTTGGATGTTCCGTAGTACACGTGACCAGCGGATGCATTGGTGGTGATCCAAGACACGACCATGGAAGCGCCAGCAGTGTCGCCCAGCGCAAGGTGGACCTGTACAGCGTGAACGTGGGGCCAACGCAGTCAGTGAGAGTGAGGGGCGTGTGTGCTTCAGGGAGACAGGAAAGAGATAAAAACATGGAGCAGGGAAGAGATGAAGGCAGCGAGACACGCACACACACAGACACGCAGACAGGTGCAGACACACACACACATACACAGACACACACACAGACACGCAGACAGGTGCAGACACACACACACACAGACACAGACACAGACGCATGCAGACACACACACAGACACACAACAAGGCGGCTTGCCTGCTGTGGAGGGTCATTGCTTGCCTGTGTTGGAGGATCAAACGAGGACGAATCCGTCATCCTTCCCTCCAGAACGGGTGCAGCACTTGACACGGAGGCCAGCACGGCCACCACGCCAACAATCACGGCAGCGCGAAGCATCCTTGTCCTTTGCTTTGAGCGTGGTTCCCACTGCAAGCCAAGCCTCTCTGAGTGTGGTGCGTGGTGGTGAGTGAGGAAAGTGCTACATTGGCTTGCACCACTCCTTCTTTCCTCTCGTTTCTTGGAGGTGTTTTGGTGTTGCGTGGACCTGAAGGCAAATTTGCCTTTGACGGGGTTCTCCAAAGTCAATTTTGCTGTTTGTTGTTTGTTTGGTGGTGGTCAGGATGGATGATGCGGTGCGCACCACAACCACCACAAACAACGAGAAGAAGGTGACAGCAGTGCGCGGATCAGCGGGCATGAAGGGGAGCACACACCACCACCCTGGCCAGGGAAGGAGGGGCAGGAGCATGGGCGTTGACGATAGTGGTAGCGGATCGCTAGTTGGAGACATCACGGCTTACTCGAAGCTCGACTGGGACCGCTTCTCCCAATGGTGGGGTTTGTTGTTGTGGCTTGTTGTTGTGGTTTGTTGTTGTGGTGTGGAGTGGTGGTGTGGAGTGGTGGTGTGGAGTGGTGGTGTGGAGTGGTGGTGTGGAGTGGTGGTTTGTTGTTGTGGTGTGGAGTGGTGATGTGGAGTGGTGGTGTGGAGTGGTGGTATGGGGATTTGTAGAGTTGGGACTCCTACACCCAATCAACGCCCAAGCAGGGAAGGATGGGGTGTGCTTTGTTGCTGGTAGCTCGCGCCTTTGTGGTTTTGTTGAGGTACGCAGGCGAGCATGCCATCGTGCACTCTCACATGATCAATCACGTACACCGCTGCAGGGTGGTTTGCATTGCCGCAGTGACGTTTGATCTTGAGGCGGGGCAGGATATCGAGGAGATGTTGCCTTCTCAACACACGTTCCCAAAGGCAATTACAGACAACATCAAAGGGCTCGCCTTTCCAGACAACAACTCCGGTGTGTGTGTATGTGTGTATGTGTGTTTGTGTATGTGTATGTGTGTATGTGTATGTGTATGTGTATGTGTATATGTGTGTATGTGTGTGTGTATGCATGTGTATGTGTGTATATGTGTGTGTATGTGTAATGTCCAAGTTGTACGACAAGCAGAGTGTAGATGAGCTGGCTGTTGCTTGTCGTTGGTGTTGTTGTGGGTGTGTGCCTCGTCTTGCAGCAGCAGCACAGCAGGTACCGTCGCCTTGTGTCCCTTACTGACCCGTGTGTTGATTTGGTGCAGGTTGTGTGGGTGACATGTCGTACACGTTCCGCTTCAAGAACCACGCACGAAGGCCTCATTCACAGCAAACACAGCGGCCTGCAACAGCGTGCACTTGATCTGTTCTGCTGCCTCAAACCGATGCTGCCGGACATCCATCTTCTCTGGGAACTCGTTCTCACCGCAGCACCCATCCTCGTGGTGCGTGTGCCGCCAACGCGGATGTGATGTGTTGTGATGCATAATGTACATGTTGTCTTACATGTGGTTTGTCGATTCGCGCGCGCATGTGTGTGTGTGTGTGTGTGTGTGTGTGTGTGTGTGTGTGTGTGTGTGTGTGTGTGTGTGTGTGTGTGTGTGTGTGTGTTTCCCAATCGGCACTGCTCCAAACGTCTTCTCATTCCCGTGCACATCCGCCCATTCCTCACCGATCCCCCCCCCACTTCGTCGTCCAGTTCTCGTCGACGCCTGCACTGTGCAGCCGCACGGTGCTCACGCTCAGCACCATGAT